CCCACTCCCCCCCCCCCCCCCCCAGTCTGCATGCTCCTCCCCCACCTGTGACTTCTTCCTTTCTTTTCTGTTATTTCCAAACAGGTAGTAGAACTCTGGGGCAGCAACAGTCTCAGAGCCAATGGAATGTGGGCTTAGAAAGTCTTCCTGAGTTTGGGGGTCAAGAGGTGGGAGGACTCTGGGTCACAAGTAAGCAAATGAACATATGGAAGAAATGTTAGATGGTTGGTAGCATTTAAATGGCTTGTTTTCCACGGCCTTTTCTTAATAAAAAGGTAAGGAGTACCACTGTAAAACTTTTCATGGACATTCTTTAAAAATATTTTTTAAGAACCCGGTACTATAAAAGATTGAAAACAAGAAAAAAATGCTATAAATTCGAACCCATTGTATTACCCTAAATTAAATCAGCCTGGAGTTAGTGGGTTTTCAGAAGATCAGAAACAGAAAGGTACTGTGTAACATAGCTGCCAAAATGTGTTTTATACATTTTTTAATTTTATAATTCGGTCTAGCTAAAATGTTCATTAGCTTAACTTAATGGGTGTTCGTAGAGTCATAAATATCTGAAAATGACTGACCTTTTTAGTACTGTAATATTGCCTGAAATATTTGAAAGAAAAATGTTTTTTGAGTTGAAACCGGAATGTATAATTCAATGCTTGGTAGGTGAGTACATTTTAATGCATTTTTCAGACAATAATTTCAAATGTCTTATTGTTGCCATATGTTGTAAGATTTTAGCTCACATTTCAGGCGCTCTAAATCGTTTGAGCCATTTTATTTTTTCCCAACAAATGCTGATTTTTTCCCATTAAATGTGGGTATGTGTGTTGTAATTTATGATTCCTAGTTATGTATTTCTGTAGAATCCTGGAGTAAGGTTGACATTTTTGTGTCTTGGAAATTTTAATTGCTCTAACAGTGTTGCACAGAAATGAGCTCATGACATTTAACATATTGCATTTTAATTATTAACTTTAAATTGTTAATTTACAGTGAAATGGATATGCCTTTTAACTAAAATGAAATTGAACATTGCAATTTTCCAAACAGTTTTTTTCTTGGACCTGGAAAAGTTTTTAGGTACAGTATTCAGCCATTACAAAGGAAGCAGAAGTACTAAGAAATGAAGGAATTACCAAACAACTCTAGTTTTAAAGGGAACCCATCCCAGCATATCTCACATGTAGTTTTTAAAAATAAGTTAATAATTCACCTCATTTTAACAAAAGCCTTTGAAACATGGGTTTTTCACTAGATATCACCTAGTGCTAAGATGGAAACCAAAACAATATCAGATTGATGTTTAAGCTCTAAATTTGTAGTTGTCTAATGTTGTACTGAGTAAATGTGTGTCATTAATGCTGTATTCTCCTAGCTAATTATAGAAAATTGTTCAAATAAAGATACAGATATAAAGGATTTTTGTTGGTGTCTTATAAATACACCCACAACACATGAAACGTGGAATATATACCAATATAGACTACATTCTGAACCACCTTTAAAATTTAAAAAATAGAAGTCCTATAATGTATGCATTCAGATGAAAACAGAATTAAACTGGAAATCAATGACAAGAAAAATGGTTGAAAAATCTCCAAATACTTGGAGATTAAACAACACACTTGTAAATAACACATGAGTCAAAGAAGAAATCTCAAGAGAAATTTAAAAATATTGTGAACTAAATGAAAATACAACTTATCAAAATGTGAGGTGTGCAAAGAACGCAGTAGAGGGAAATTTATAGCATAGACTGCATGTATTAGGGAAAAAGAAGGCCCTAAAATCAAATATATAACTTTTTACTTTAGGAAATGAGAGAGAGAGAGAAAGAAAGAGAGAGAGAATGAATTAAGTGCAAAATAAGAAGGAGGAAAGAAATAACAATTAGAGCAGAAATTAATGAGATTTAGGACAGGAAACCAATAGAGAAAGTCAGTGAAATAAAAAAAAAAAACTGGTTCTTTGAAAAGATCAATAAAAAATTGATAAGCCTCTAGCCAGGCTAATTAAGGAAAAGAGAAATGACATACAGTAGATAAGTGGTTGCCTACCTGCACTTAGGAGTAGAGGGTGCTGAGGGAACAGGGAGTGATAGCTACCGGTAACGAGCATTGGAGTTTCTTTTTGAGATGACCATGTTTTAAAGTTGACCGTGGTGATAGTTTAACATATCTGTGACTATATTAAAAACCACTGAGTTGTATACTTTAAATGGGTGAAGTTTATAGTATGAGAACTATATTGCAATAAATTTTTATTTTTCAGCAGAC